GTTCTGAGCTCACTCTGCTGGTCTGCAATTAACTCTGAGATACTTTAATGCCACAGTGTCTGACCGTTAGCTCGTTGTTTGGCTGAGACTGAACAGGATGGTGGGATACACTGGGCACGCACGCAAGCAAGGCTCTGGCAAATGAGAAATAAAAGGCAGAAGAAGTAAAGTATTACTGTACAAAGATATCTACAAATAAAATGTTACTACTAGTAACTTTTTGTTGTTGCTAAAACCCGGCATAGAGTTAATAGGCGAGTTAATACGATTTCAGGGACATTTGCTATAGCCTATACATAGATCATGTTAGCAGAGAATTAGATATATGCGCTAAAACACGTCGGCCGGCGTAATATTGACCACATCACCCATCAAGTGCCAACTGGTCAATAAAAATATAGGTCTAGCCCTGTATGCCCAATACCCCTGCAGGCGTGGAGAAGGGTCTTTAAGATAAAGCACACGTGAGATAGCCGTGTGGCGTAGATATTAATGTCTTTCCATAACCTTCTTTCTCGTGTTCTGTTAATAAATTATGGCACAGATGATTGTCTTTGCCATGATACCTAACGGTCGAGGATCGTCTTTCCTGGTCTCCCTCTGCCTCTTTTCTCACACCAACTTTTCCACCGTCATGATGTATGTAGCTCAGTTTTCTCTGACCTATGACATGGCCAAAGAATGTAAACGATTTCCTTCTGATGTGGATAATCAGTTCTCTTAATGACTCCGTTTCTTTCCAGTCTCTTCATTGCTCTGCTTTCTGTCATTATTCGTCTTAAAACCACATCTGCCGATTCCACATAATTTTTCACTAATCGGCGAACTGTCCATGATTCACTTCCGCACACGAAGATATGATTTTATACAGCTCTTGAAAATTCCCTATCTCACATCAGTTTACAGAATTACTAAAATCTTCAGAATTGGTATATTGATTTAACTCAAATTAGTTCTACCTTACACCCAGATAGTCAAAATTCACGAGTCCATTGATGATGGAAACAATAATGACTTGAAGGACAGAGAGCTGAACGTGCAATATCCGACAGTGAAGGTAAGCTAAAGAACTAACGAGACAGCATGACTTTGTAAATATTATTTCTCCGTTTCTGTAATCACTTGCTTTCTATCTGCCAGAATGAGGATTGCAAGAATTTATAAAGGATGTTTAAGTCTTTGTATAAAGCAATAGGTATGTTTTCTATCATAATTAAAGTCCTAATGACTCGCTTTTAAGTGTACTTGGTTAAATGGCAATCGCGCAGCATATAGGGATTGTTTTGCCATTGGGAAATCAAATGACAAGAAGGGACACAGTTCGCATTCAGACAATACTTCATGATTTTGAAAAGGAGCTTGCACAAACCCCAATGGATCAGTCACAGTCACGATGGTTAGTACATGTATGCAGAACGGGAGAGAATAGGCCACCAGGGCAGACATGGAAGGCCAAGAGCTAGTGAAAAGGACCACCATGACGACATAGGGTTTTCTGAGAAGACAACATCCGACAGTCCCAGGCTTACAGGGGACTCGAATCGAACAAAGCCAAAAAGAAAGCATAAGAAAATTATAGAGAAGTTTGGCGATATCTCTGGCAAGCATCTACAAATCATCATCATCATCATCATCGAGTGCCTTGCCAGCTGGCGTAGGCGTTCATGCGTCGCTACAGATCTCGGTCTTTAGTGTTCTGGATCAATTCTACTGATGATATTCCTCCATGCTACTGTATTGTCATCAACCATCATTTCTCTTGATCTGCCTCTGCCCCTTATACCAGTGATCTTTCCAGTCGTCATGATATTTTCCAGTGCTCTTTTTCTCATTACACGACCAAGGAACTTTGTTTGTCTTCTTCTCTTTGTTTTTATAATGTTCTACTTTTATTGGCCGTTTCCAGGCATTCAATGTTGGTTATACCTGCAGTCCAAGGTATTCTCAACATTATTCTTAAAAACCTCATCATCAAATAGATTGTCGAAAACAACAATACAAGGTAGAAGAGGAGCGACTAAGCGACTAATGGAAATGAAATGTTCATATCACTTTTTTCGCTTATTTATTTATTTTATTTGTTCCACATGCCTTTTTCCTCTTGCTATATTCTGTAGTTACTCACGTAGAAGCCCCTGCGTGGGGACTGTTGGCCAAAATAATCTACCCCTTGTTGTTTTTGTTCTTGTTGTTGTTGTTGTTGTTTGCGTCGTGACGAGCTCATGACAAAACTTCCAATTTCTCTTGTGTGTTTGCATTCTTCCCCTTTCCCCCCTCGGTAAGCGTCCTAGTCACAGTTAAGTGGATTAATCACACATTCTAAACCAAGACATTTAAGGTGGTTTAAGATCCATTCCTTGTCTTCCTTCTCTGTGTGGCTTTCTACTGATGACACTAATATGTGAAATAGGGGCTTCCTCGATTTTACTTTACAAAATCGGAACTGGTGCAGTGGCCAGACGCCTGACTGATGTTCCTAATCTCGGATTTTAACTGCATCCATACGAACATTTATTATTGACGTTGGCTCTCTGGTTGATCCAGTCTAAAACTAGTGACAGGAAATGTCTTGGAAGTAAAGGAGGCAAGTGTGATTTTGACCACATGAATCTCAAGTACCAACTGGTCTAAAATGTTCAATGCGTCAGTGGCGTACCAAGAGTCATATACATAATTTTTTTTTTTTAACCGTGGGGATAACACACAACCCTGTCTCTCACCTTTCGCTTTATTAGAGCAAACTATATACGCTTTCGGTATTTTACCGGTGCATTACAGACAGCGAATATGCTGGCAAACGGGTTTCCTACATTAAGATAATGCCGTTTGATGCAATGCTATACAAGTCCCATACCAAGAGAGACAGAGCTGTAGAGTCCGAGGTAGACCAAGAACAAGGGAGAAAATAAAACCTCTAAAATAGTATCGGTTGTTATAGTAATAAACATAACCCATCTCCTCCCAAATCTAAGGCATAAGGTAACAGATCTGACAGAACTGACACCTGAATTAATAACAGATTAAGTGAATAAGAGAAAGAAGATTTGCATTTCCACCATAAAACTTTTGGCTGTTCGTGATTTTATTAGGCAATTTTACGATCAGTAGTTTGCCATTGTGCCGGAATGGTCAGCTCTCGATACTGGCGTTGAAAACAACGCAAGACGGTCTGCTACAAAACTGCCCGCAGCTGTGATCGAGCCTGATAACATTGAATTACGTTCGTAATGCCTAAGCCACAGACAACTTTATGATTAATATAATATCTTTGTCATCGATATTGAGGCATTTTAAGAATTTGACACCATAGTTAACGCATTCATATTCCGTTGCATAAAAAAAAAATAGAAACAACTAAAAGGCAAAACTGTGGAATTAGGGAAAAAAAAGGAAAACACTACAGCACACAGACTTGCAAGCACATCGGCCTCCTGGTCCGATCTTGAATTCAAGAGAAATGAGGGGAAAGAGGACATTAAAATGATAATGTCAGACGACCTCATTTCTAATCTTCGTTATGACTAGCCAGATTTTGAATGTGACGATAACTTAGGTTTAAAAGAATACTCAAAAACAGATGGAAAAAAATGAATACACTAAACAATGATTAAACCAACTTTTCCCTGCACTTAAATGCATCGAACAGTGTTGCTATCTGATAAAGCAAGAAGAAATCAGCGTCAGTATTAAGTTCAGTGTCATATGAATCAGTATCTATTGATCGATAATGAATATAACATCAAATTTAACAGCTCGGTCGGTTTCCCACAGGTCGGAAAATCTTGCCGACAGATAAACGTGACAGGTGTTGAAATTTAAACGAAGTCCACATGTTAAAGGCGCACAAATCTCGATAAGTGATATACAGGAAACACATAAATGGCTTCTCTAACGCAAGGTCAGTTGAAAGCTTACATATCGACTCAACTTTTGCAACGACTGAAATTTTTCAGGCTCAAGCGTTGTCACAATTTAATGGTTTGGAGAAAGTTTTTTGACACCATCATAAAGTATAATAATACAGTGCTGTACAGCAGTAACTGGCTAATTGACGCGATCTTATAAGATCACAATACGTTGCTGTGAAAACGTTATTAACCAATACAGTCCTGTAAGAGCACAGTACACTACTGCACAAAAATAAGCGACACGATTATGTTAAGCACAATACAATGTTGGAAACTGCTGATAGAGAAGTCTGGCAATCTCTCTGGCAAACCTCTGCACCCCAGGGTAGAAAAAGATAGACTAAGTAAATAAACAATGTCGGTTATGCAAAGAGAAGAGAGGCGAATATAAAACAAAGACACGTTTAAATCAAATGTTTTAAAAAAAGAACAACATATAAGGAAACATAAACCATACATGTTTTCTGTGGAATAGTGTTGTCCGTGCAGCTCTTTAGCTTAGAGATAACGTTTCACAACCTCTACTAAGCATGGCTTCGATGATCGCTTAGAAAAAAGTGCTTTCTTACCGCTCTGGGAGACAGTTACGAAAGTTGCTATGTGGATGATATTTAGGGTTACCACGCAGTAGTTTCAGAGACTGGAGTTTATTTACCGAAGCCAACCTCAATTGTTGGGGAGGCATATACATTTGTTTAATTAACCTTCTCAAACCTTTACTATTTTCTTGAAAAAAAAAAAAAAAAAAAAAAAAACAGCAATAACAACAGACTAAACAGACTATTGTATACCTTTATTTTATGCTATCTAGGTTCCTTATTAGATTGAACATTCATCATTTAAAACTGTTATCTTTAGAGATTGCGAAGATTCCCGATTAGCATGCTTATTTGCATGTTTACAAAAAAATTGTTTGTTGTGTGTTGTATTGTAGACTCCTAATGCTTTCTTAGCAGCTGTACTGCTTGAGTCAATCTCTCAAATGAACTGCTTTGGTCAATCTCTCAAATGAACTGCTTGGGTCAATCTCTCAAATGACTCTGTTAAGAAGTCCCCCAATTTGGTATATAATAGATCTACGGTAATGAAAACATGGAATATTTGCTTCTTTTCTCACAGAATGAATTTCAAAGTAAAGTAAACTACACATATAAAAGACATTTCTTACTCCAAGAGAACGAACTACACCTAAGAACTTTCACAAGACCTCATACATCGCGAAACAATCCACAAAGTACTGCTTGTGACAAGGAAGTGTCTAGAACTGCTGAACAAAAGAACAAACTGATAGTCTCCTACAACATGCCACATTGGTGGATAATTGACTTCAATTTTTCTCACTGTGAGTGCACTCGCTGTCAAATCGTGTACAGTCAGAACATTAATCAGGCAGATATCGTCTTGTTTGACGGTGTCCGGCTCAGTATTAAGTCTCCACCGCCGAGACCCACAGGTCAGATATGGGTTGTTGTCGGGAGCGAGGCTCCTATATATTACACTGGACTGTTGCATACTCGTAAGTAATTGTTGTATGAATGTCAGGATAGTTTGGATAATTTAATCAAAGAGAATTGACGTACATTTTAGTTTTTCGGATGAACGAATACTGGAATAATCACAAAGCTGTTATCATTTAAAAAAAAACTTTTAAACATTCTGTCCCAAACAATTCACCGTAAAAGATCAGTTCTTATTCATGCACGCGCACACACACACACACACACACACACACACACACACACACACACACAACAAAAGATACCGTCTATAATCAGTTATTATCTGTGTCTACCCACCAAATCACGATAGGATGCGGAATTGGTCACAGCATATTGTAGAGTTGAGTTTATTCAAGAACCTACATCACAGCACTCGGGTCATTCATAAGCGCTCCGTCCCCATCTTTAGCAGCCAGCGCAGGGCTCAAATAAAAATGATGCCCATAGCAGTCTGATTATACGTCCGTCGTGCCTTTACTCTGAGAGCCAAGTATCGGCCAGATCCCCTTATCACTCCACACTGCATCGTTACTTGATTAATGCATCACTCTCACCAGAGTGTGATGATCCATTTTCTCCACCAAATTGTACACCTGCTTCCATAAGGCCTTGACCATTTATGTCTTTTCGTGCATCAGTATTCCACCAAGTTGTGCAGAGACAGCCAGTCTGTCTTGCCTAGGGGTTTTTAGGAAATCAAGCAACTGTCTTCGCATGTAGAGTGTGATTTAGTAATGCCTGCTGCTTTTTCCTTTTTGTGCACAGGTGAACTTGCTGTCTATCCCGTGCTCCGTCTGTAGCCGAAAAAAAAAAAAATTATAAAAACCTACATTGTTTTCAGTTTTCTTTTAATTTTCCTGCTCACGAGAGGTTTAAAATATTTGAGATTTCAACGTAGGAAATTTTAACAAAGAATATTCATAATGTGACGAAGCGGTCAAGCCGTTTGACTCAAGGTTTGAAGGTCGTGGGTTCGTTTTACAACTGCGTCGTTCAGTTCACGAGCGTAGTATTTACGGAGATCCCAGGGGATCATTACCGGCGCTGCGGAGTTTGTGTTCTGGGCGACTCTCTTGGCAGACGGCCTGCCGTTCTGTGGATAGAGACGAACTCTATAGGATAAAACCTGGTGCAATGAAGTTGATCCTCTCTACTTTGACATTCAACCCTTAACATTCAAGGACTAAACTATTCTTTGTTAAATCTCATTGAAGCTCAGTGGAGGGGTGTGTTTAACTGGACAAACACTCATCATATAGATGCTGACATATTTGTTCCGTATGGGTTACTGGTACAGCGAGATTACAGTCCAAGTTCAAGAACATACTACGGTAGGTGCATTTAACAGAAGGAGAAAAATAGAAGGTGAAAGCTGATGTTAATTACTATGACGACAGACAGATAGATAGATAGATAGATAGATAGATAGATAGATAGATAGATAGATAGATAGATAGATAGATAGATAGATAGATAGATAGATAGATAGATAGATAGATAGATAGATAGATAGATAGATAGATAGATAGATAGATAGATAGATAGATAGATAGATAGATAGATAGATAGATAGATAGATAGATAGATAGATAGATAGATAGATAGATAGATAGATAGATAGATAGATAGATAGATAGATAGATAGATAGATAGAGATAGATAGATAGATAGATAGATAGATAGATAGATAGATAGATAGATGGATGGATAGATAGATAGATAGATAGATAGATAGATAGATAGATAGATAGATAGATAGATAGATAGATAGATAGATAGATATAGATAGATAGATAGATAGATAGATAGATAGATAGATAGATAGATAGATAGATAGATAGATAGATAGATAGATAGATAGATAGATAGATAGATAGATAGATAGATAGATAGATAGATAGATAGATAGATAGATAGATAGATAGATAGATAGATAGATAGATAGATAGATAGATAGATAGATAGATAGATAGATAGATAGATAGATAGATAGATAGATAGATAGATAGATAGATAGATAGATAGACAGAGTTTTGCTTAATTAAATCCTAATATGCACCTCTTCAAGTGTGAATTTTCAGTAGGGCTGTACCGAATAGTGATTTTCACTATTCGGCCGAATACGAATAGCGGGACCAACTATTCGGCCCATTATGAATACGCATTGTGTATCATCATCATCAAGTGCCTTGCCCACTCCATTGTGGATGTTTTTTGTCAACGAAAAGTGGCAAAACTGGTCAGCAGGCAAAGACCGTGCCAGCTGCCGTACCACGCAACCGTATTGCAGTTTTTCCCACTACGACAGACTTAGGCAACAGCAACGATTGTGTTTATGAGATAGTTATTTTAGTCCATTGCAGTGTGTGCAGAAACGGGTGTAAGGTAACCACTATTCATATTCGGCCCGACCGCGAGTATTCGGCGGAATACCGAATAGTTTTTTGATCCACTTTTCGGCTCCGAAGCGAATACGAAGCGAATATTCCGTACAGCCTTAATTTCCAGTACCGATCTTCAAACTCTCTGGTTTCTCTAGATCAAGAAGACTATAGTTTAAGTTCCTGTCTTGTCTTGACTTCAGGTGACTGTGCGCTATGTGAATCATCATCATGATCATCAGGTGCCTTGCCGACTGGCGTGGGTGATCAAGCCTCTCCATAATCTGCGATCTCCTGCAGCATGTATCAGTTCATGTGCTGACACACCTCCATGCCATGCAACAAGACTGTCAAGCATCTTCTATCGTTGTTTTCCTCAATTTCTCCTTCCACATATCTTTCCAGTGGTCACAACATGTTCTATTTTCCCTCTTCTCATAACGTGGCCGAAAAAGGATGACTGTCTCCTTCTGATGTCTGTGATAAGTTGTCTTTGGGCTCCCGCCTCTTTCAAAACATCTTGGTTGCTCTTTTTGGCTGTCCAAGGTATCCTAAGCATTCTTCTGTAAAACCACATCTCCGAGGCCTCCAGAAATTGTTTGGCCTGCCTACCGATTGTCCAGGATTCACAGCCATATGTTAAAACTGGATGTATGTAGCAAGCAAGAATTCTTTTTCTAACTCTCAATGACAATATATATATTGCACAAGATGTTTTTCATTTTATAAAATACAGTTTTTGCCTGTACTATTCTGTTTCTTATCTCAGTTATGTATCTTCCATCTGATGTTATCCATGTGCCCAGATACTTAAATTTCTGTACTTGTCCTAAAATAACACCATCAACTTTTATTACACACTTAGGAATAATTCGTTTCTTTTATACCAACATTACTTCTGTCTGCCCATTATTCAAACTGAGGCCCATTCTTCCACTTTCTAACACCACAATGTCTATCATTTCCTGTAATTCTTTCTGACTTGTTGCTATCAAGACTTTGTCATCAGCATAACGTATATTGTTTATATTGTGCCCACCAACCACAATTCCGGGCATATCAATTAAAGATCTCATTATATATTCACTGTATATTGAAAACAAATCAGGTGACAGTACACATCCTTGTCGCACGCCCCTCTTTATGCTTTGAAATTTACATAAACAGTTGTTTATTCTTATAGCTGCTGTTTGCTACCAATACATATTCTTTATTTTTCGTAGATCTTTCCCATCAATGTTTAATTTTTCTAACAGTTTGATTACTTCTTTATGCTTCACACAGTCAAATGCTTTTGCATAGTCTATGAAGCATAAGTACAAATCAGTCTTTACTTCTATAGCTCTTTCTGACAATGTCCTTAGGATGTAAATGGCATTGTTTGTACCTTTTCCTTCTACAAATCCACATTGTTAATCGCTGATTTCTGGTTTAATTTTGTTTCTTATTCTTCTCATAATTATTCTCAGTAAAATCTTAGTCATGTGACTCATAAGACTTATGGTGCGGTGGTCTTCACATTTTAAAGTGCCTGGTTTCTTTGGCAGAGCTATAAATATGGATTTTAAAAGGTCATTTGGAATATACCCAATATTTTAAATATCATTTAAAAGTTTAGTTATTATTTCAATTCCAAAATCTCCTAGTGCTTCGATTTCTTCTAGTTAGATGTTGTCTGGCCCGGGTGCTTTTCCTTTCTTCATATGATGTATTGCATCCTCAACTTCTGCAGTCATTATTGGTGCACCATCATTGTTGGTCTGCAGTTCTACATCTGGTCTTTTATCATCATACAATTCCCCTATATACTCTGTCCATCTGTTAATTATATTACTATGTCCCATTAATAAGTCACCATCTTTTGATTTCAAACATCCAGTGGTGTTACGTGTCATCTTTCCTGTTAACATATTTATCTTTTGGTACATGGAATGTGAGTCTTTCCTTTTGTTTTCCGCAATCTCTGTACACATTTGATTCAGCCAGGCTTCCTTAGCCACTTTGCATTTGTTCACTATTTCTTTTTGTATTCTAGAGTATTCTTTTTTATCATTCCTTTTCTTCCTTCTTTCATCCATCAACTGCAGAATTTCGGTTGACATCCACTTCTTTTTTGCAACTCTATGGGTTGGTGGGATTGTCTCTTTAGATGTCTGCTGAATTGACTCACGCAACATATCCCACTGTTCAACAATAGTCTGTAAAATTTATATTACATTATACCGGTTTTGTACAGTGACATTGTACTGCTCCTTAATTTCTTTATCCGTTCTAAGAATTCCTAAATTTAACTTGATGTTCTGTGGTGTTTTTCTAATGTTCTTCAGTTTTATTCTAATTTTTTGTACAACTGGAACATGGTCACTAAAGCAGTCTTCTCCAGGTCTAGTTTTTGCTCCAACTAAGCTGCTCCTTAATCTTCTTGAAATCAAAATATAATCAGTTTGATTGCGGACATTATCACCAGGACTTTTCTAAGTCCACAATCTTCGAGGATGGTGTTTAAACCAGGTGTTACCTATTATCTTGCTGCGTGACTCAGCCCATGCTATTAATCTGTCACCTCTCATATTCTTTTCTCCTAGGCCATAGCCACCCGTTATTCCGTACACTTTTTCACTTCCTTTTTTCGCGTTGAAATCTCCAAGTACCATTGTTACTTCACAATTTTTGCATAGATCAACAGCAATGTCTAACTCGTCATAAAATGCGTCAATATCTTTCTGCTGTTGGGGCATAAATCGGTACTAAGTTGATGTCAAACGGAAGTTTTACTAATAGTAGTCTATCTGATATTGTCCAAAATCCTTTCACAGTTTTTGAGTTCTTTTGATCCAAAATAATACCAACTCCCTTATTATATTCCTTCCCACCCGAGTAAATAATTCTGTACTGATCTGAATACTTTTCACCTTAGTTAGTTAGTTAGTTAGTTAGTTAGTTGGGTTATCATCATTGCACTCCGGACATGTCCATAGGTGCTCAGATCCTCCCCTCAGTATGAATCCCAACGTCCGATGGCTAATAGTACCAGTTCTATGTTGATTAACAAGTCTTCTGACGTGTCCGGTGTGCGTCTCGTTTTTTGCTGTGCCGATCTTAATTCCCAAGTCTGCCATTCTGGCGAATGATGTGGATTCACTGCCACCAAAGTCCTCTATCCTTCCCATTTCTCTGAGGGCATTGATAATATCAGCATGATCCATAGGCCGACCGTCGGTAGTGATAGCGGATCCAGCCAACCTGTCAGCTCTTTCATTTCCATCGACGCCTGCGTGTCCCGGAACAAAAATAAAGGTGACTCCTCGCACAGTGGACTTCTGTAATGATTCAAGCCATTGTCTTCGCACTGAACCTGCCTGAACCCTCCGGATCATACTCATTGAATCACTGAGTATACACACGCGGGTGTATTTTTGTGTTTCAAGCCAGGCAAGCGCTTGCGTCACTGCCATCACCTCCATCGTCATGCTGCTGGTTGTCATGGAGAAGTTCACCTGCTCTTGGCCATCGCATTTCACTAATTTCTAATATGTTGATGTTCATTCTTTTCATTTCCATCTAGATGTTATCCAACTTTCCGTTTTGTACGAGTCTTCTGACATTCCATGTACCAATGTTCATGATGTTTCTACCATTTACTTTTTCTACAGTAGTTGGATGACTGTCGGGTATCACCCGTAGAACATGATGCTCCCTACCGGACGAGGTGATTCCACTGGAATCCCCATTCACGTCGTTATCTGAACATGTGTCCGGCTCTCTAGCGGAATTGGCTAAACCGGATTTCGCGGAGACCGGGTGACGTACTCCTTGTGGTCCGGGTTCAATCCCGGGTGTAGGCAGGAAAGCCACATTTTCTCCCAGATTTACGGTATTTACAATGGAATCAAGGCCGAAAGGTTGCGATATCCATAATACCGAGCCTAAGGGTTAACAACTCATGGCTTCTGGATACTAAAACAATCTGATCATGTATTATTTTGAAGCATGATTTTCTTGGGATAGTACAGCGGTGATTTCCCCTTGCCTTCCGCCGGTTTGTATATGAATTGACTGCAATAGCCTTTGTCTAAAGAGACTTACCCTGGAAGGCAGCAGGGGGTGGGGGGGGGGGGAGGTTAAGGCGCCTCTTACCCGCCGATGGCCATGTCGTAGAGTTTTGAGATATTTTATAGAGTTAGCTGTCCCACCAACTAACTCACCTCCTCTCAATAACCATCACCTGTTTTGATCCACGGCCACTTATCCAATATATTCGTGGCTAACCTCTATATCAAGAGGCCTTTCCACCATCCGCCACCTGGTGGACGCGCCTAGTAGTAGGACAGGCTCCTACCCCAGGGCTATGTGAATAGGGGGCCCTAAGATAACTGTTATAAGGTTGAACAGGCTTTCTGTGATTTGTACCTGTTTGACTCTCTTTCTTCAGATATAAATCCTGCAGACTGCAATCCCGAAGAGAATAAACTACCTACACTTATCAAGAAGACTCCAATTAGGTCCATGAAGATGACCAGTTGGTACCTGGTTGGGAGAAAAGTCTCCGTACCAGCCTTGCCTCAAGGGGATGCAAACCTTGTTCATGGCTTTGATTATCTTAACTGCAATGCAGCTTATTTTAGAAATACAGTTCACATTCTTCCAGAAGACTAACAAACAACACATTTTTTGACCACTAAAACAGAGTCACTGGCAAAGTCAAAGACGAAGCTGGCTGTTGCCGTGATCAGCCACTGCCAAACAAAAAGTCTTAGAGAGGAGTACATCAAGGAGCTTCAACAGTACATGGCGGTGGATGTGTATGGGTTTTGTGGGACCAAAACTGCCTGTCGGAAAAAGAACAATACTTGTCTCAGTGAACTTGTTCAACCCTATACGTGAGTATTGTGGTCAGATATATGTAAATAAACTCAGAGATACGTAAGCATACAATGTAGATTGTGGTATCATTTGGAGCATCGACACAAAGACAAATCAGGGTTTGGGAAGAGGGGGGTGGGGGAGGGATTCAGATCCCTCATAGGTTTATAGTAGCCGAAAGACATTAAAAGTTTAAGTTATGTGTACGTGCGCAGTAATAAAAGCAGTAATAATAATAATAATATTGATTAACATGACTGTATGTTGAGTGGCAAATAAATGTAATAATAAATTTGAAACTATATAAAATGTGTAAATAATTCCTAAAAACAGAACATCTATACATGTTTAGGGGGACCAAACAGCTCTTTACTAATCTTTGGGATGGGTGTGGAGGAGAGTAGGGATGCATACCCCTCTCTAAAAATATTCGGGAGTCTCAAAGTGCCTGAGTTCCCAGGTTACGGCTGCCTTGTTTGTATTGGTCTGACATACTGAATTATAAAATGATGCTTGAAAGTGTAGGGCATGAAAGCGGCGTTCTGCAAATGACCAGGTACGAGATGATAATAGATCTAATCTTGTATACCTCATCGATGCTGAATGTTTTCACTAACCTACTCTGGCAGGTTTCTACTGGCTTTCGAAAACTCTCTTTGCCAAGATTACGTGACCGAGAAGTTTTTTCGAACCTTCAGTGATGACTTTCCGGTGATTCCAGTAGTTCGAGGAGGGACAGACTATCGAAGCTACTTCCCACATGGAACGTTCATTGACGCTTCGGATTTTCGTTGCCCCAAAGAACTCGCCGCATATTTAAAAATGATTGGCAACGATCCCAAAAACATTGCTGATATGCTTGAAGCAAAGTCAAGGTAAATTCTCGTTTCAACCAACTGTCATCTTTCAAAATAAAACGAAATTACGATAAGCCCTGTATTGAACAATACCAAATTTCATAAGCGAAGAACAACCAGTGCTTACTGTCGCAGTTTACAGCTGCGAAATACTTAGACAAATAGAATAATAATCCATTCTTGTTCCCTCTAAAATAAGACTCCCAAAATCCACACACTGACATTAGTCTAAATTCCAATAGGAATGGTCAATTTGATAAATTCGGCTTTAGGTGTATTCATTTCGTTGGTCACTGGGCAGAGAGGCAGGGTGTTATCCAACGTCCAACAATGGGTAAAGCGGTCAGTCTGAACTATTTGCAAACCGTTCCTTTTTTTCAGATTACTATAATATTAGTCAAAGGAAAAATAGTGTGGAACTGTGTGCATATAAAGTTCTAGAAATCTACATTATGCACCCAACTAATACATAAAAGTGGACACAAATATTTCATTCATATTTAACTTTTAGCATGAAACTCAGTTAGCTGCGTTACAATATTAAGATGATCTTAATACATACTGGTTATCAAAGAACGTCACTGCCGTCCCCATAAAGGAAAGTAAACTTTCTCATTCAAGGTAGGGACTATGTTTGGGTTTATCAATGAGCGAGCGAATATTCAGACTTCGAATGAGGTGAAACATAAAATGCTTACTTAGACAAGACGACATATGAAGATGTTCTAGACGAGCTCTCTTTCTGTATTGGAATGGGATCTGGTCATAACTAAACATTAAATGTGAGATGTAATGTTAAACGCAATTTCATACTACTCTCTTAGCAAGTTTGTTCTTTATGTATGGGTAATGATCATGTTATACCCTAATATAAATCAGTCAGGTGCCATCTCCTCAAAGAAGGTTTGCTGAAATAGATTTCCCACACACTCTATCTTTTGTCATTGATGTACAGTCTCTCAGACTGCTGGTTGGTCAAATCTAGATGAACTGCTGCTATGCCCCTTCATATATGTGCAGTTCCATTACTGATCTCTCACAGCACAATATTTTCAGAGTTTCGAGAGAGGTTGATGTGCAACACAGTCACCGTAAAGATAGTATCTTAGTTTTTTTGTAGTTGTTGTTGAGGACAAAGGGTCTATACCAGTCACACTGCAATAGAACTAATGAACAATATGTCCATCTCCGCCCCCCCCCCCACCCCCGCCCAAAAAAAATCCTTTTTTTTTTAAATTATAGAATTTACAAAGCGCAACAACACTATATACTAATTTAAATGCTGAAAGCAGTTCTCAGAGTTGATTTTGAAGCTCCAATAAAAAACGTGCCATCAGCTATTTTAAGAATGAACACCTGGAATGGTAGAAAGCAAGAAATAAAGAAAAGGGTGAAGTAATAATATTAACAATAACAATAATAATAATAATAATAATAATAATAATAATAATAATAAGAGGAGAGGAGGAAGAAGGGAAAGCAGAGTTACAGATAAACATAAATTTTCAAAGGTGTTTGAGTTACGAAACAATGGTGGTTTTTAAAAAGAGCTACACATGAAAATGGAGACACAAATTGAAATTATTTTCAACAATTATGTATTATGATGAGCAAAATTTTGCCATGGGAGACAAAGCATGTTTGTGTGTACCATGATGTTGACTGTTGAATGATACTTTACTACTGATTATTGACCTTAGCAAGGTTTTTATAAGTAACACATGTTTAATAAGCATTTCTCTGTTCTCCGTAGATACCAGTTCGTAGCAGTGCATCGCCACTGCCACATCTGCTACCTCTTGCACAAGCACAACATCACTAGCTCAGGCATTGATCCCAGCGTGTCTTCCATGGACAGAGCATCTCTGACAAAGACGTATACTGATGTCTATCGTTGGTTATCGCAAGACAAATGTTTTCCTCCACGCGATTTTACAGCAGCTCCCAAGAACTGAAGGCAACGAAATTGCTTAGGTTTACTTGTTATGCAGAGTTTGCAGTACAACGTTAAGATGGTTATGATGAAATTATGTCCAGTATGCAAATACTGGTTTTGCGTGTTTGGCAATCAGCATATACTTGTGCCATAAATATTACTATACAATAAGAGGACATTCTTCTTCTGCAAAGTCTATTCCATGTGGCGTTGATAGTCATGTACATCCACAGCCTTCTGTCTCGAGTGCTTTCAATCAACTTTGACACAGATGATTTTCAATGCCATGATGTAAAACTGTTCAGCATCTATTTTCTCGGTATCCCTCTGCCTCTCCTCCCCCTTCCAACTTTTCCACTATCACGATGTATTCTAGTTTTCTCCTTTTCATCACATGACCAAAGAATGTAGATTGTCTCTTTCGTGAGTTTCTTTCAAGACATCTTCATTGCCCCTTTCATCTGTCAAGGGTATTCTCATCATTCGTTTATAAAACCACAGTTCCACAGTTTCCCCAATAATGTTTTTTAGTAATTTACTGTCCATGATTCACTTTCGAACATCAGAATGGGATTTTATTTTTGTTTTAAAAATTGTCTTTCTCGTCTCAATTTACAAAGACAGATTGCATAAAATATTCTTTAGCTTTTCGACATTTAACTTTTTAAATACATCTTCCATTTGATGTTAGCAGGGTACCCAAGCACTTAACAATATCATCCAATATAGTTCACCTGGGGTGAAATATCTGAAATATTTATGTGTTCATTAACGTGTGTTTGTCAATCTCTATTTTATGTATGTATGTATGTATGTATGTATGTATGTATGTATGTATGTATGTATGTATGTATGTATGTATGTATGTATGTATGTATGTATGTATGTATGTATGTATGTATGTATGTATGTATGTATGTATGTATGTATATATATATATATGTATGTATGTATGTATGATGTATGTATGTATGTATGTATGTATGTATGTATGTATGTATGTATGTATGTATGTATGTATGTATGTATGTATGTATGTATGTATGTATGTATGTATGTATGTATGTATGTATGTATGTATGTATGTATGTATGTATGTATGTATGTATGTATGTATGTATGTATGTATGTATGTATGTAAGTATGTAAGTATGTATGTATGTATGTATGTATGTATGTATGTAAGTATGTATGTATGTATGTATGTATGTATGTATGTATGTATTGTATGTATGTATGTATGTATGTATGTATGTATGTATGTATGTATGTATGTATGTATGTATGTATGTATGTATGTATGTATGTATGTATGTATGTATGTATGTATGTATGTATGTATGTATGTATGTATGTATGTATGTATGTATGTATGTATGTATGTATGTATGTATGTATGTATGTATGTATGTATGTATGTATGTATGTATGTATGTATGTATGTATGTATGTATGTATGTATGTATGTATGTATGTATGTATGTATGTATGTATGTATGTATGTATGTATGTATGTATGTATGTATGTATGTATGTATGTATGTATGTATGTATGTATGTATGTATGTATGTATGTATGTATGTATGTATGTATGTATGTATGTATGTATGTATGTATGTATGTATGTATGTATGTATGTATGTATGTATGTATGTATGTATGTATGTATGTAGTATGTATGTATGTATGTATGTATGTATGTATGTATGTATGTATGTATGTATGTATGTATGTATGTATGTATGTATGTATGTATGTATGTATGTATGTATGTATGTATGTATGTATGTATGTATGTATGTATGTATGTATGTATGTATGTATGTATATGTATGTATGTATGTATGTATGTATGTATGTATGTATGTATGTATGTATGTATGTATGTATGTATGTATGTATGTATGTATGTATGTATGTATGTATGTATGTATGTATGTATGTATGTATGTATGTATGTATGTATGTATGTATGTATGTATGTATGTATGTATGTATGTATGTATGTATGTATGTATGTATGTATGTATGTATGTATGTATGTATGTATGTATG